ATTCAAAGCCGTTTGTCGTAAAGGCTTTCCTGCATTATTGTGCACTTGTCACATTAAAATATATAGATAAATAAAGGTTTATGGCTCTGATCATTCTATAAATAACTAAACTCTTACTTACTTACTATAACGACACCAGAATTAAATTAATTAAGTATTTTGAATAAAAGAACTCAATGTGAAACACGTCATGTTTATAATGTTCTTTAGGGGCATCATCAGCTTTGCTTTGGTCAAATGATACTAAATGATTAATCAAAATAATGGATAGCAAACCCACTAATGTAGTAGCTATTGTAGCTTCCTTTACAAAGCACAGGGAATAGTAAGGGTTTTGACTTTCACAAATGATTTGTGAGAACCCAAAATGTTGTTCTCATAATTCTTCACACTTCTTCCCTTAAAGATGCTGTTAGCGATGTTGCTAGCTTAGCCGTAGCACCAACTCGAAACCACTCCCCCCTCCCCTCGCCTCTCCACCAAACCAAACATCCAGCATTTTCTTTTCTTTATCACAACAGGGAGAGTGGGTGGCAAACGTGAAATTGGCCTTTTCTGTTCTGCTATTTTAGGAAAATAATCTGATAACTCAGGTGTGCCAAGCCCCGGCGATCCAAGATGGCGCCCTATTCAAATGAATGGTTGTGCTCAGTGGCGCTTTGTGACGGCATGGGGGCTGAAAGATTAGCGGAAGTCGCCTGAAACTCGCAAAGATCTCTGGGAAACTCGCCTGTATTTGGGCATCGTCTGGTCCTCCCGGTTCTGCGCAGTGGATGATCTCCCATAATGCGTTGTGCCAAACACGTGTGTGTGGGTCTCACACCGGGTCTCACGCACGTGCACAGAGGGGCTCGGCCGCTCTCTGACCAATCAGAGCAGTTCATCAGAGCGCAAGTTGGAGCGAGAGCCAGACGAGCAGAGTTTGTGGCACTGAAGTGTGGATTTAAACAAAACCGAAGGATTTAAGAAGAAAAAAAGTTCAGGATGACAAGGGACACTAAAATCCCCACAAAATCCGACCTTTATGAAAGCTGTAGGTTCTCTGTCAGCTGAGGTCGAGCTGTTTTAATATGCATTGAGTTCTATGGGGAAAATTTCTGGGCAGCCCACGTGAATTTAGTCTGGTTCAGTCTGCAGTACCGCAAGAATCCCCCGAGCACATGAGTTATTCAGCTACAAGCTGTAATACCCTATCCAGTTATTATAATAGATCCATGAGGTGTGCACACTCGCAAGAAACAGGAAGAGGGTGAAGGAGGTTTTTTAGTCATTTTTGTAGACTATAGACATCTGGTGCATTCCAATCCTATTTGAAAATACATGATTGACGACTCTTAGGGTTTAGGGACGTTTTCCCACAATATTTACAAAAATGCATCTGGAAAAATCACTGACTGCATCTTTAAAAAAACAGTCACAGTGTTGTTATTACATTTTTTAAATTTGAATTAAAATAGAAAATATTAACAATTGAAAATAACCTTCACAAAACCCACAGAAAATACATATATATATCTAGTATCTCTTGTTTCAAAACAGCATTATTATTATTATAGTACTGTTTTTCTTTTAGCTCGGCCCTAGTCGTAAAAAGCTCTGAAAAAAACTGTCTCTGTCTGTTTCTGTCGTAATATTCTCTTTTACTTCAGCAGCAAAATAAGTACTTCCTGCACTTCTGCCTGTCATTGCTTTTAAGATCCACATTTCGCTCCTGCCCTAATGACCACCGCTCACCACCTCTCACCTGACACGGCCATTAAGCACCCAGTAAACTCTGACCAGAATCACCCCGAGTATGTCTCCCATGGGTGCCCCTCCACCCATTACCAGCTCCTTCCTGCGTCTTTCCAAAAATCCATCCACCCAAGATTTGTCGTCTTCTTTTGGGATAGCGGCCGGGAGATGATTGGCCGAGATGACAGGAAGTAGGCGTTTTTATAGCACGTATTAAAACAGCCGCAGCGACACGTTTTGGTCTTAAAAATCACACTTCTGCTTTGGGTTTTTCACACTTTTTAAACTGTGGACACTTTAGCACTTCTTGGGGGGCTCCAGGGTAAGCTTCATTTGTATTTTCCGTGGTGGTTCTTTGTCAGCCTCTTTGCCCCCGAACGTCGGAGCGGCAATAATCGGCAACTCATAGTGCAAATTAAAATCATGAATAATCACAAAGCATTAAAATAAATTAAAAGTGAAGATGCAATCCTTGTACAGCTGAACAGAACTGCTTTTCAGCTGGATTTGAACATTGCCATAGAAGAAGGCTGTCTCATATTTTCAAGAAGATGATTCCAGGAATTAGCTGCATAAATCTGAAACAATATTCCTCCAGGTTTAGTTTTGACTCTGAGCACCAACAGGAGGCCGGTCCCTGTGCTTCTCAGAGTCCGAGGCCATGGCGAGACTTGAAACAAGCGGAGCTGCTTTAAAGTCTATTCTCTGAGCCACAGGAAGCCAGTGCAGAGACCTGACATTAAAGGGGACATAACCTAATAATGGAGGTTTCTCAGCTTTTGTCCATGTTGTAATTGTTTTCTCTTGTCACACACACATAGTTTTCATGTTTGAGTTCTTTATGTGAATAAAGAGCCACAGGGGTCATTGATGTTCACATTATGAGGAACAGAAGTCCCCTTTAAGAACAATAACAGTGCAATAAGTGTAATAAGTCATGTTTGTGTTGGGGGCTCTGCTTTTTGGTTGTGTCCATCTTTAGCCACATTCACACTGAGCAAAAACACGACCTTTCCTTACACACTGAGCAACACGGGCTGGTGCGTCAGAACGACTCGGCATCTAACCCGCCTTGCACTTCGACCAAATATAGAGATACTTTGATCTGTTTTATAGATCAGTGCTTACATGTGAGTCAGGGGAAGACTTCTCACAAGTCTCACAAAGGACAATAAAAGCTGTGGGACAAGAGTGAAGCTTTCACAATCAGAGTTTGGGCTGTTGCACTCAATGCTCTTTCATTTGTAAAGTTGTCCTTAAAAATGTGTTTGAATATGTTTCATTGTTCCACATGGATGATAAACTTACAGTCCATTATAATGTGATTCCCTTCAGTCCTTTGGAAGACTTTTTTTTTTTTTGACTTTTATTTTAACACGTTCCAACACCCCAAACTGTCCCAGTGGTGTCCCAGGTCGCTGAAAATGTAGTTTTGCTTGGAAAGTTCCATAGTATTGTATTACACTCACTCATCTACTGTAATACTGGTGCACTTCTGCTCAGAGGAGCGTAAGAATTCAAGTTGTAAATATGAAATGACATCTCCATGGCAACAAGCAGGTAGCCCCCATTGGATTTTTTTCATTACAGATTATTTTGTAGTTTGAAAAGTTGGTGCTTTGAAGTTCAACTATCCATGGCTTTCAGGTTTTTGTTCTATGCTCCAACATTCAAAATACATATTTGATATAAACAAAAAACTATTGTGTTTTTTGTTGTTGAGAAAGATACTGATGAATTGTATTGTCAGCCTATATCTCTAGTTTTAACTAGAGTAAGGGATTTAGTATTATTTATTCAGCATTTTTGGATCTGTTTTACAACGTAACAGTGCCTCTGTCTTTGTGATGATGTGGAGGATTCCCAGTCCAGGGTTTGATGCACAGCTCATGAGTGTCCACTAGAGGGCGATGAGTTCCTGTTGGTACTGAGTGGCATTCTCTGAGCTGCTCCACTGGCTCCACATAAATGCTGCTCTTCTTTCTGTTCATGTAAAAATATTTTTAAACCCTTCTAATTCTCCAAACCAATAATAATGAAACACACAGGTGCACCTCCTGCACTGGTGCATTCGTCCAGTATAGATTTTTATTTTTTTTAGCTGATTCAGTAGAAACACAGGTGGTTACCGTGACGATTGTGGCTCCAGTCCCCTCGGGTCCTCTGTGGTCCCACTGTCCTGTCAGCCATTTGTCTTGTAGAACAGAGCTTCTCAACTGGAACAGTGTTGGGACCCAACATACAACGCCACGACCCAAATAAGAACTGAAGTTACTCCATCCATCCTCCTCCTTCTGCTTTATCCGTTACCGGGTTGTGGGTTCAGCAGTCTAAGCAGAGACAGTCAGACTTCCTTATCCTAACATACTTCCTCCAGCTCATCTGAGGGAATCTCGATACGTTCCTCGGCCAGCTGAGAGACATAGTCCCTCCAGCGTGTGTCCTGGGTCTTCCCCTGGTCTTCTCTCGAAACTCCGGAACAGATGCCCAAGCCACCTCAACTGACTTCTCTCCATGTGGAGAAGGAGTGGCTCTACTCCGAGTTCAATTCTATTAAATTAAATTCATTCATCTAAATCAGAAGTTGTCTCGGAGGACTTCAGGACACAGGAAATGCAATGATAAATAAACACATAGAGCCATATGGGGCAGATGACCAATGTCCATAAATGTTAATAAAGTCTATAAATGTTGTTGAATGTGGAGTGTCCTGGATCATCACCGTCCTTTGACTTTCCTGCATTGATAAGGAACAAAACTCAGATACTCTGCAGAGGTTTCTCACTTTATTCCACTTTTTTTTGGAGTCGTTCCTTGCAGGTGCAGGAGGGACTGAGGACAGTGACGATTGGGGACATTTAGGGACATTTAAGTACAAGTATGAACATTTCTGAACAGTGGTCATCCCGCACCCTGTGTTTGTTATTATTGCAATTCCTGTCTTTGAACTGTTTGATTCTCTGACCTCTGTTGTTGGTGAATCAACAACTTTGTAAAGCACTCTGAGACAACTGCTGTTGTGATTTAGGGCTGTACAAAAATAAATTGAATTGAAATTGAATTGAATAGTTCCTGCTGATGACGATGTAGACAGAACACACATTTTATATAAGGAATTGCCCGATGATTATTCAATCCACACATATACAGTAAAATCCATCAGCCCTGACAGCCCTATTTTCAGCTGTTCCCTGGTATTCTCCCTCTGCATTGTTCTCAGATCCTTTGGGGCATGATCCACGCTCCCCCCGTCCACCTCAGCCCACCTCAGTCCACCCCTGTCCGCCCCTGTCCACCCCGGCCGCCCCACCTCTCAGCACAGGAAGACCCAGTAATGAGGAGATGAGCGCCATTTCCACACAGATGGATCCTCTTCCCGTCCAGAGAGAGTTTTTATTTATAGGCCGGGGTGCCAGGTTTGATTCAGCATTTGCAAGCGGCTCGTTACAATTACAAGCGTTCTAAAGGTCACGATGTAATATAATAATAAACGGCCACGGGCTCCGGCTTTATGACATTATGGGATATCAAAGTGCGTCCACAAACACTATAACTGCCTTACGCGGAGCTAAATGAGAAATGATTACGTTTGTTTGAGCTGCAGGTTATTGGATTTTGGACTCGCTCTAGTGCCTCAGTCTGAAGGACCGAGGCACTGTGGAAGATATTGCATCTAGATATATTGTTTTGCTTAAAGCTGAGGTACCTCACTTTCCAAAAGAAACCTGCATGGTATCAAATCCATCTAACTTGTTCCTGGCTCTAAAACAGTTTGCTTCTATGACTAGTTTTCACAACAACGCATCTTTTACCTCTGTCACATCTTTAGACCAGCTTTGTCCGACAGAAAAATGTAAAAAGCCTTGAAATTGGAGGTTCAGACTGGAAGACTGGAAACTGTACGTGCCAGCTCACTGCTCTCAGTCCTCCCCCTGCTGCTGCGGCGCATCAGCAACATCGATCAAGCACTAGCCCTGCATTGTCATCAAGCTTTCACATCTCGCAGAAAGCTTTAACTGCTGCAGCAACCCTCCTCCTCCCCACCACAAGCCTGCTATACTACTAGATCTACTTTGGATGAGTAAAAATTGTTGCAACATGGTAAAAAAAGACAATTTTATTTAACATGCAACCTTTCATATAGGTAAAAAGATGCCCCTTCCTTCCTGTTGTCACCTTTTTAATTGATAATACACTGCAATAGGTAATAATTGATTGAATCGAGTGGTTTTTAACTTAATTTGAGTCCATTCTGCCAGTGGGACAAAACCATGAAGTCATTTTTCAAGAACTGTTGCTTTATTTTCTCATTCCAAGTGAGACATTTCTTGTATCTTTTCAAAACAAGACAATTTTGCTTTGTCCCATTGGCAAATGTTGTTTTAAGGCAGTCAGAATGTGCTCAAATTAAGATATTCATTCATTCATTCATTTTCATCCCTTTATTATCCATTTCTGGGTAAGGGGGTGGCAATAAGAGATGGCACCCAAATGAAGATACATTTAGCAAAATGTAAGCATTTTTTAAAAATTTTTTTATAACTTTTTGCAGTGTACTTTTTTAGTTCAGTAACAACACATTACTCTGTCATTTCACTTCTTTCAGATTTATGATGTATTTTGCCACTCACATTCTGTAGTCAGCTGATCCTAAACGCTGCAGTCTGTCATGTTGGGCCTCAGGGCAGACTCCTATAACTATCTTCTCTTGTGATTATAAAAAATCCTTTTCCTCCAACTTTCTGTAAATCCGCCTTAACTCGCTCGTGGGTGAAAAGACAAGCCTTGTTTAGTGTCACAACTCTTACGTTCATGTTTCACTCAGCAGGCTGTAATTTCCACCGTGACTTGTTGCACGAGTAAATAACCACAAGGCTATCATCATAAAGAGATCGTGTTTTGGCGTTCCTCAGTGACAGGACGCTGATCTAGGGGCAGAGACAGGAGGCGCGTGGCAGGCTGGTTTTACTCGCGTCACAAACTCGGCTCCAGGTAATTACGCCGAGCTTTCGATGTTTGTGCGGCCATTTTCTCCTGTCACCTGCAATCAGCGAGTGTCATGTAGGTTTGACGACCTGACATACTACATAAACATACTAATTAACCTTTGTACGATCAGAGAGACAGTAGCAGATTAAGGCTCCAATATAAAAAAAAAAAGCATAAAATACAAAAATCTTGCCATAAATTACAACCCTATTACTGTACCGGGAAATTATTTCTGAAATGCTTTTTAAAATGTGAAACCATTATATGATACAGACTCCACAGAGCGGGACCTACAGCTTTCACAGAGGTTGGATTGTGTGTGTATTTTTGTCATCTTTTTGATTATAAATGTTTTTTCTTTTTGAAGTCCAATTAGTTTTCTACACATCATCACTTTTCTAACTTCAAATCAAACTTATTCCACTCTAATGGTGCAAAGCATTACCTACCCCCATGTTAATTTTGACTCTTAAACACGATAAATAGAAAATATACTAATAAACAAAGATTAGTGAAACACCTCCATCTGGTGGTAAAGTGGAAGATTACACTTGGTCCTACTTGGTTGGAATGAAGACCTGTAGTCACACCTCAGCCTTTTGAGGACTGAGCTGAACTATAAACATTAAACATTGCTCGGATAATCAACATCATTTGACTTGATAGACAAACAGTTCCCGAAGTGACAGGTCGAAGATGATTTCCAGAAAAATAATTTCACTGTATTGGCCTATTTCTGACATTCTTGTGCTGGAAGTTCTTGATTTTTATTTAGATGGAGCTAAAACAACTAGACATTTATGCACATTTTTGGACAGTGGTCATCCTCCAATGTCTCATCCATGAATGTTTTACAGTGTGTGGGTTTCGCTGCGTAAATGTACACTGAGTAGTTTTTACTCCCATCTAGCGTTAAGATCATATATTGTAATCTACAGTACTACAGTAGTTTCGCAGGATAATATGTCGGCTTTGACAGTGATCTCCAACTTCCGATCAAACTCCTTTTTGTCCCTAGCCTGGCCATAGCCATCCGTACACTCCGCTCAATCATCATTTCACTGCATGTAACGTCTGGGTCTGGTCCCTGGGTTAGTGATTACAATCGGTTGAATTTCGACCGACAAATCAGCGAGCGCGGGAGGCGGGTGTTGTTGTTAGTTGTGGGTGATGTCAAGAGTTTGCGTCGAACGGGAAGGTCGTAGTTTGGCAATGGCAAAAAATGCCATAGTAAAGTAATTAGGTCTGGTTCTGTCAAGAAATTGAAGCCGGAGCAAGAGGAATGTTTAGCAAATGTAATCACTGGAAAAGATTGTGGCGCTAATCCCCACGGGCTCCGTTAGCAGAAAAAGGTGATGGCTAGGCTAAATGCTAACGACAGACTTGGGCGCACTACATACAGTACGTCATAGTAAACTCAGATCCAATCGTTTCAATCTGCAAAAGGAGTTAACCCCTCCTATCTGTAAACAGAGCTCACTGGAGCACCTCCAGACCTTAGTACGAAATGTAATTTGTACTATGGTGTGGTACGACCAGGCTATTTTGTCTCTTATCAACCACTGTATTTCAAGATGGCGCATTGACACAGAGAGTCCTCCAGCTCTCACGTACATTTAAAAGTCAAATTCTAAGCCTATGACAACAATTCAAAAACATGGTGGAGGTAAATATTCTTAGAAAGGTCACATTTATAGTAACTGTAAAAATTACACTTTAAACTTGTCTCCAGCATAGACCACTGGCTTCTATGTGTTTGATATTGTTGCATTTCCTGTGCTGGAACTGATTGATTCTCTGATTTATTTTTTGGCGAATCCACGATGTCATAAAGTCCTCAGAGACATCTGCTGTTGTGATTTAAGGCTATACAAAAAAACTACTTGATCAATTGAGAACAATGTTGTTACTCATTGCTCAACAAAAAACCATTTTGCATAATATTTGACTTAATATAATTGAACGCCACCGCAGGTAGAGATAATATTGTGCGTCGTCTTCAGCACTTGATGTATTGCTCTCGTGAGGAAGTCCCAGCTGTCACCACCTAAAATTGTTATGTTGCCGATGCCGACCGTTTTTCATCCAGTCTTGGAGGAGCACTTTACTTGCGGTGCTCCATCCATCATATTCGAGCGCTTCCGTGACAAACGCACTCTAGAATTGGTCCGGACCTGTTCCTCTCTCTTGCCCACAGCCCCATCCATCACATTATAACCTCTCCTGCTGCTTTCAATGTCAACAATAAGTATATCTGTCTTTTCCGGGTCTAACTTTGGTCCGAGTCTTTGACCACGCAAAGACTCTGATTTCCTTCCTTTGTACTATAGTTTTCCCTTTCTTTTTTTTTGTTCTTTTTTCCGGCTGCACAGTGTAATCTCCAGTGAGCCGTTGATAATCGCGGACCATCTGGGCGCTCTGTGGGGATGGGAGAGGACAGGCCCTCGTCATGTGACCAGAGGAACGCGTGGGCGGACAAACAATCGCAGTTATATCTTCTGTCCAACTGTTTATGGCTCGCGCTTAAGTGGCTCAGTATAGAAGCATCTTTAATGAGGTTACTGTTCTACCGTGTGTTCTACTGTGTGTTCTACTGTGTGTTCTACTGTGTGTTCTACTGTGTGTTCTACTGTGTGTTCTACTGCGTGTTCTACTGCGTGTTCTACTGTGTGTTCTACTGTGTGTTCTACTGTGTGTTCTACTGTGTGTTCTACTGTATGTTCTACTGTGTGTTCTACTGTGTGTTCTACTGTATGTTCTACTGTGTGTTCTACTGTATGTTCTACTGTGTGTTCTACCGTGTGTTCTACTGTATGTTCTACTGTGTGTTCTACTGTATGTTCTACTGTGTGTTCTACCGTGTTTTCTACTGTGTGTTCTACTGTGTGTTCTACCGTGTGTTCTACTGTGTTTTCTACTGTGTGTTCTACTGTGTGTTCTACTGTGTGTTCTACTGTGTGTTCTACTGTGTGTTCTACCGTGTGTTCTACTGTGTGTTCTACTGTGTGTTCTACTGTGTGTTCTACTGTGTGTTCTACTGTATGTTCTACTGTGTGTTCTACTGTGTGTTCTACTGTGTGTTCTACTGTGTGTTCTACTGTATGTTCTACCGTGTGTTCTACCGTATGTTCTACTGTGTGTTGTACCGTGTGTTCTACCGTATGTTCTACTGTGTGTTCTACCGTGTGTTCTACTGTGTGTTCTACTGTGTGTTCTACTGTGTGTTCTACTGTATGTTCTACTGTGTGTTCTACTGTATGTTCTACTGTATGTTCTACTGTGTGTTCTACCGTGTGTTCTACTGTATGTTCTACTATGTGTTCTACCGTGTGTTCTACTGTGTGTTCTACCGTGTGTTCTACCG